ACATAACAAACTCTGGTTCTAACCACGACGAGCGCTGTCCGTAGATTAACGAGGTGACCCCAGCCCCAAATTTCAATGTCTCTTTGCTACTTACAAATGTCTTCCTAGTTGCTTAGGAAGACCGTTGGGAATCATCGGGTGGGCGCAGCATGGACGTTGTTGGGCGTCTCTTTTTTCCATCTGCCTTCTTCACCATCATTGATGGGTGGATGTAGGCGCAACAATGACGTCTTCTTGCGATGCCCTCACCAACCTAACCCGAAATCTTGACCTCAAAGAACTACAGAGCAATCGGGTACAGATGATGAAAAACGCTAAAGTGGTTAAGGAGCCAGAGGATAACTTAGGCCTTACCCCATTCCTATTCGTTTGTCCTTTACCGGACGATATGAAGCTAACTGAATTTTATTTTGCAGAGACTGCGCGCAGGAAAAGGCATGACGTAGACTTCTTCATCAGTGGTGAATGGACCTAACTAGTGACTGTCTCTCTCCAACTTTCATGACTGATGAAGAAGTGAGATCAGCCAGCCATAAATCCAGAAGCTCTCACGTTACGCAACCGCGCGCGTCTCGGAGCGGCATACTCTGCACGTGCCCAAGGGTATGGAGGCGAGCAGGCGATTAAGGAAGGCCAATGAGCAGCGTTTTCGAATCCTTAAATCTCAAAAATTCCAGAGTATTGAGTGCCCACCTCTTTCATAATTCCGTCCAACTCGGGGAAATATTTCAGAGAGTAAACTGCATAGGCAGCATCTTGACTGCCATCCTCCAGTGGCATGTTGTGACAATCTCCCTCCATAAGCCGACAAGTGGAATCGATACCTAACTTGTGGAATTCGTCGTTGCCTAAAAAATAGCGGATGAAAGCTTTTCAATAGAGAGTAAGGAGATGTAAAAGGACAAAGCCTCATGGCAGTTTATGCAGTGAAAGAAGCAGAAAGGTCAGAGATGCGGAGGAATAGTTCTTCCTAACCTCCTCCTCCTCCTCCTCCTTTTGATTCAATTTGCTTCGAAAAACCATAATTCACCCACCAAGTTCCACCTCGTTCGCAGCAATCGTAATCCCGATGAGATTGGCCTGGGTGGGCGCTAGGTCCCTCATGACTCCACCGATGCCACAACCGAGATCAACACACGACATACCAGCACTTAAACCGAGACGCTGGCCAATCTTCCTGGAAAATGCAGGCTTTTTTAGCCAGAGCGTAACCACAACGGAATAAGGCCCCACCGATGAAGTTCGGACAGCGCTTCTTCAAGTGACAATTTCTCATGTCTCGGCGGTGCAAAGTGAAAATTTCCTAAAATGAGAAAATCGAAGGTGGCATAGAGCCACGCCCACAACTAGCGAACCTGCTGCCAGTGGGCCACCAATTCGCCGAGTATAAACTCAACGTCGGATATGTGGAAAGATGCTAACCTCCAAAGTACTCATCTATAACCTTCGACATGACCGAGTAGTAGTGGGATGTGACTGCCAAATGATCGCCGGTGATTTTTGCCTCGTTAAACAGCCGATCATGCTCTTCGATAAACTCGTTCTAAAATTCATTTATATAAATTGAATCCGCAGATAAAATAAGAAAAAATACTATTGAGGATATCGCATCAGCACCCAACCCGTGGACCACATTTTCGTAATTTGGCTGCCATCACGTTGCCTTTCATGACATTCTTGCGACACGTACCTCAGACAGGACAACTCATCCGAATCAATTAATGGCACCGTTCGGGCTTTTCGGGCTAGCGACACAAGGAAGCATTGTCAATTACACATCCTCTCCTCTTCCCGCCTTCTGTGGTGGCGAGAAAGTAAGTAAGAGGAGCGGCGCAGCATTTCATGACCCGCCCAACCGACGATCCCGGACAAGTGGACAAGCAAATTTTCCTAACTGATCATTAGGAGTAGCCCTTTCTGAGAAGCAGAGGCACCGAAGCCTCATGGTCTGAAGATTTAGTTTAGGCCTCTGATGACAAAAACTCAGTATTTCGCTGATCCGGACGAGTTCTTCGGTCCCAGAGACCTGCCACAACACATTGAAGAGTATATTTTCGTTCTAAGGATGATTCCAGAAAGCGCACAAGAAACGGTTGCCCCTCTCCGCTTCCGAGATAAGTACGCCTTTTCTGAGTGGAGTGCACTTTGTTCACTAGTGTTTTACCTGGACTTTTGCGGTTCGTTCTTCCCATAAGAGGCGAGACACCCTGAGGAGAGCTACACCACAATAACAGGACAGGAAAGTTTAGGTCGCTGAAGAGGCGTTAAGTACTAAAATGTTTGGAAACAGTAGGGACTTTTTTCGAAACTTCTAGGTCCTTGCGCTCTAAAGGTGGGGAGAGGCCTGGGAGGGGGGCGGTGCATTTTGTTGGTTTCCATTGATGTTCCCACTACCAATGCCTTCTGTGGACACCAGCAAATTGCTGTAAAGCTGTGCAACGGGAGGAGCTTCGTTCCTTGACAAGAGTCTACAGATCTGACCGAGTATGAGACCTGTAGTTTGGCAGGAAATAGCAAAAGTAGCTAGCGTAAGTAAGAAATGTCCCTCCTAATGCAGGGGTTTCACGGCGGAATCACTGCAAAAGTGCAAAAATTCGCGTACTCATACGCGCTAAGGTTAGATAATGTAAAGACGAATTCACGTCTAGCCAGCACATACTAATTTGAGAAGGTGGCTTCAGCAACCGTGCACTAGGGACTAGGATTGTTTGGAGAAGTCTCAAAAGATCCGCATTCGCGGACAGAAGTCCGCAAATACACAAATAATAACAGAAGGATCATAAAGATCAAACAAAAACCGGTCTATAGTTGGAATATATGTAATTTTTCAGTGAAAAGTATACTAAACATTGAATAATTGCCGTAGAACCCAAGCTTATACTCCGAGAATAGAGCAGTAAAAACTCTGGGCAGTTTTTGTGGAAGTCAAGTGCATAGCGTATCACTTGACCGATCGATAATTTTTAAAATCTCAAAGTTCAAGCAAAACGAAGATGACCCAGATAAACGGCGACCAGAGGGGGTCAAGGTGATCGCCGACCACGTGTCTCAGCCGCATCGTTCGCAAAGAGGATTTCATTTGAAGATATTCAAGAGAAAGGATAATTGTTACTGTATTTCCAGGATAAGTAGGACAACTGCCACTTACCAGGTCGTGACGTCTGAAGTGCATGAGCAATTTGAGATAGTTCCTTTTCATATTTACAGCCATTCTGGTGATTCCCTAGCACCTGAAACTTTTTGACATTAGTTCAAGATACAGTAAGATTACAATATACAATGGACGCTGAATATGAGTAATCGGGAACAAAACGATCTGGAGACCTTTGGCCGAAGAACGATGACCACGTCCGAACAGGGCGGGGCATCGTTTGAGTACACACGGAGCGCTACGACAGATCCTGGACTTCCCTCGCCATTCCGCTGGATGTTCGACTTCCCGCTCTGCTGCTGGTCATTCTGAAAAAGAAATTAGATAATCAAGTTTACCGCTGGCTTTGGATCTTGTAGTAGAGCGTGATTCCCTGATAATGTGTAAAGACCTGCACGCGCTACAAACAAGGCAAATCCTCGCGGTGTAAAAAAATATCTTTTCGTACAGCCCCCCCCCTCCTACTGACTAGAACACAACCCCGTTTCCCTTCTGCCCATGGAGAGTTCCCAGCAATGACATGAGCTGGATAAACGCCGTAAAGGATGAAAAAGGAACATGCTCCTAGATCAGCTTTCCTTTGGAATGCGAACGCATGCGTTCTATCACTGTAAAGACTCCATTGTTGACCAAAAAGGCCCTCGCCATTCGCTCACTGGACATCTGGTTTACTCCGAAGAAGGAGCGAATGCCCAGCCTGCAGCTTCATATGTAAAAGTGGGCGGAGTTATCCGTCAAGAGGCAGGGCTGCACCATAAAAGATAAAATGTGCGCCATTCTGCTGATTGTATTTTTCGCATCCGATCTGGGGCCGTATGCCGTACTCCCCTTCGAAGGGAGATATCCTCTTGTGAACTTCCATTCTCTGCCGTGATCTCTACATGCCCCCGTCTCTCTGGCTCTCACCGCTCTGCATCATACTCTTTTGGCGCATGCTCTGTGCGAATATAGTGCAGCGCAGAGTATAATCGATATGCTCCCCTCTCCCCCAGCGAATGTCGTTGGGGGGGGGGGGACGGGGGATTCCGCGAGAGTGAGGTGGGGGAACATAGATGCAGAGAGGCAGAAGCAGAGAGGCGAGGGGCATTGATAGAGACGACGGCAGAGAGCGGAGCTTTACTAGGGGAATATCATCTTCGAGGGGAAGTATAGCATAAGGCTCTTGGGCCACTCAAGTAAGTTATAAGTTAGCTAATGTGCGAACCAGTATTTCTATGTTCCCGTACAAGTCTGCGACCAATTTACCGGCCCCGAATGGTAGAAAGCTTGTTTAGCCTGGGTGGGAATCGATCCTGGAATTGATTCTAGGATCGTGTGCACAAGCCGGCCACTTATCACGCCACCACCTTCGCCCACGATGTGCGTCGTATGCAAGCCTTGTTCGTTGCGGAAGCTGGGGCGTGTCAGAGTGGGGAGGTGCATTGTTTTCCGCGGGGCCAACCCGATTTCCACCAATTGCTGTCGCTTCCACCCTTCAAAATTAGGTGCAGAACGGGCCGACGCTGCGCCACACCGACCCTTCCCTTCTCTGACACGCCTCAGCATCAGATTTTGACTGTTTGCAAACTTCCACTAGCTTTCTCGTCTTACTGCGATGGTGCTCTTCAGGTGCAATGATAAGCAAATAAATAAACTTCTGGGTTCTTGGTATAAACTCGTATGACAGCGTTCAAACGACTCTTCTCATGAATCAGCTGCCCTGCAACGACCGAAAGCCAGTACGGACCAGAGAATGCTAGCAAAAAAAAACACAACTACCACGTAGCTTCTATTGTCCACTAAGACCTTCTTGACTGCAGGACTCCGCCTACCAACGCCAGGGAGGTTTCCCGAACAACGTCTGTTTTGTTGGAAGGTAAGTGGACGATTTCTTGAAACATCAGGGAAATCTTCTCATGGAGGCCTTGAAAAACTGTGCTCTCCTGAGCAAAAAAACTCTTACATACTAACCGGAGAAAATGGTGGATCTGTCGCAGAAAGGGTGCTACGAATTGAGAGAAGTTTGCTATCGCCGGAAGGAAACGATCGCCCACTCACTTCGGGACTAGATCGCCTCTTCAAGCTAAGCACAATTCGTCCAATCGCTGAGTTTTATAGGTTGGAAGGAAAGTCTTGTCACTGTTGTGACTTTTTCTTTTTTATTTTCTAACTCAACATACAGTGGGAATTAGTCAACAATATACTCGTCATAGTTAGCCACTACAGTGCTCCACCCAATGGACAGGTAAGCATTCCCTCCTCCCAGAATGCTGCGAATAGAGTAAGTCAGCGCCCTCTCGACTGATGTCATCAAAATTGCTGAAAGTTTTCTTAGCTAAGAAAGCCTTAAGGAGGCGGAGCAGGTAGCAGTCGTAGGGGACTACGTCAGGAGAATATTATGAGCGGGAGCTGGTCTTCCAGCCTTGCTCCTCAATATTTGGTAGGTCTTCATAGCAGGTATGGGGTCTCGTGTACTACGAACGAGGTGACCCGAAGCTAGTCTCGGTCATTTTTCTCCAACAATTTTCACTCGTTTCGGGAGCTGAGCGACACAAATGGTAGCGGTGATCGTGTGTTCTTACATGGCAGCCCATTCTGCAGCATCTCCCTCGCGTCCCAGGAGCAGCACAGGAGAACCTTCTCGGAAAACATGCCTTGTCTGTACTGTTAGAATGGGTCTTCTCTTTGAGAGAGACACACGGTACTGTGTGGATTAAAATCATAGAGGACCCATCTCTCATTCCCGTCTCCTGGAAACTTCTCCTGACGAGGGCAGAGAAGAGGCAGACTAAGCAAGGGGTACGAGTGCCCCGCACAGCGTGCCATCGGTCAAGGTATGAATGATCCATCAAGCCAGTACTTCTTGGTAGTCAAAGGCTTACAGGCGGTGGACGACTGTCAGTTAGGTACATCCGAGTCTTGTCGCAAGACTGCGGGTGGTAGGCTCTGGATCCCCCTTGTCTGCTTCGAGAATGGTGGAGTCTTATACTTCTTGGGGCCGTCCCAACCAAGGTTTGTCCTTCGAGGATCGAGTCTCTTTTCGCGAAGCAGAGTCGAACATGAGAAAAAGGCGAAAATAACATAAAAAAAACCAAGCGGGGTTTACTTGTATGTAGTCATGCTTTTCATGTACAGTCCGCAACTAGCGGGATAATAACCTGCGACATTTCGCACGAATTGGGCGGGGTAGACCATAGTGGGCGGAGCCCCTACTAGTAAGGAGTGCCTTGCACCCCTATTCAAGAGTATGATCATTAGGTCATGCACGCCTCCGGTAAAGGAAGACCCTTGTAACAAGCCGGTAGTAAGTTTCACGCGACAAGTATCACCAGACTTCTTCTAAACCACTTGCTCTGAAAGAACTAATTTTATAACAATATTTATTAGATTTAAACAAAGAGAAATATAATTCCACTACACACAATAGGCAGTAATTAACAGCATTGGGCCATAAAAGCATCGATTACTCGTTCGATAATTCGATGGTATGAGTAAAAAAAAGGAGGGATAATCAATTCATATAAGATAAAAAAGACTGCGAAAAAGCTTACGCATAACAACCGAGGAGAAATCACCGGACTGAACTGAACACACTAAAGCTAAGAATTTGATCGAATAAAGGGGGTTTGGAATGCTAGAGGATACCTTGCTTAGTGACAAACTGACGAGCAAAAAAACCTATACTTTAGGCAGTGACAATCACAACAAGAAAATGGAGCTTTTCAGATTTCTGATTCCTTCAGAGGCAGCACTCCATGAAGTGTACATTATTAAGGAGAAATGGAAACGATAAAGAACACAACAAGTTCCGAATCTGGCCGGCTCTTCACGGAGGTGGCAGTCTTTCCACCACAACACGCAGCATTGCAGCAGCTCGGGCAGCTGCATGGGCCTGAAAAAGTCAAAAGTAAAAACTTTCTCAGTAAAATTCCTCATCAGTAGCCACACAGCAATCAGCACGTTATAAAACACAGAAAGCTTCAGAATTCATTCAGGAGACACTCAAAGGCTCAAATGAAAGGTTCTTTTTCCGTCGATCATTTCGGTACGTAGCACCTACGAGCGGTAAGTAATCAAGGCACTATACGCAGGGATCAGCGATGGGAGGGGGTCGTATTCGCCCCGAGAGAAATGTTTTCGGTTGTCATTTTCTCGGTTATTCCTGTTGTAGTGCGTTAAATAATCTCCCTCCCCCACCTCTCCACCCTTACCACTTTTTTTTACCCCGGAGAATTGCCACTCGACGGCAGTTCTAAGGGGTAAAAACTCGTGAAGATTAGTGGAAACAAAAGAAGCTAGGAAATCAGTAGGTCGCATGAAGTAGAGGGAACATTATTAGAGGGAGGAATTCCGACCGCTTCAGACAGCCTCTACTAGCACTGCAACGTCTCTCTTCCAGGAGCCCTGTGTATTGAGGGATGTGTTAGATAACTTACCTCTAACCCTCCCTTCTAAGCAAAGCAGACGCCCAAAGACGGTCTCCACTCGTATACCGAAAACTACACATTGATCGCTTGGTTGAAGGCACGATTCATGTTAAACTGATTTGCGGACATCTTCGCACAAGGTAGTTCAGTCTGCAGGCACAGAGGGAGTGCACCTTTCGCGGTTCAAGAATTAGAATAAGGAGGCTAGACGTTTGTGACAGATTTTATGCCCCGCCCACAAGCCAACACCACTCCCGACGTTCTAATTGCTGCCTGATAGGGTATAGGATATGATGAGGGGAACTGGATGATATTGTTTATTCACTGAGTGCTCGAACGAACGGACAAATATTTGGATCGGCTGGGGGCTCTATCAAAGGCATTCTGGACGTTTTCTGTTTTTTTTCTTCGACTGCAAAGTTAATTACCACCATTGTAATTCGCATTTGAGCTTCACTACCCACCATGTCTGATCCGCTGGGCAGGATAGAACACATAGCAAAGCAAGGACAAACCCACACAGACATACCCACACATATTTGGATAGATAAAGGAAGCCCCGCCCGCTATAAGAAGCTCCACTCACTTCGTGGAAACCCTGCCCAGATGCCTCAGATTTGCAGGTTAGCAGATCTCGCTCGTCACTCGAAACAAAAAAAGCAAGGTTTGTTACGGGTGACAAGCGACATCCTGACTTACTAGTTGAGACCTGCTAACCTAACTTGCTAAGTGGAGACATTTCGAAAGAGGTGGGCGGGGTTTCTACAGAGTGGGTGGAGCTTCTCATATCTCCCTTCATTTTCTTGTATTTCTGATCATTCGGAGAAGGTTCTAGGCACCAAAATCTCATAACATAAGAACTTTTTGACTTGAACTTTAGGTTTTTCTGAGTTTTTAGAGCAAGAACTTTTTGACTTCAACTTTAGCTTTTTTAGAGAGTTTTTTGAGCCTTTGGTACATTCAAATGGGGACTGAAAACTTTCCGTGGAAGGGGTGAAATTCAAAAAAATGGCGTATGAATGGTACCTACCTGCCACAACTTGCTGGCGCGACTCAGACCATGTTGATAGTCAGCGATTCCTCTTATCAACGTCCAAGAGTTGATACAAGATCCACTAATGGCTGCGATGACCGAATCGAAGCCGGCATCCAGGGCACGCACTTCGAATTCTTCACCGAATTTGGCACGAAGTGCGCCAATAGACTCTTCTTCGTTCTCTTCTATGTGTCGTTTAAAGTTCGCCAGTGCTCCAATCGGCCCCAGGTGAACTTCTGGGCCTTTTCTGGTTTCCTGGTTGGGATGTGGCACCACTACGACATTACCGCCACCCACAGGTAGCGCCAGGACATCCGTGTCAGCCGCTGGCATCGAAAAATCGTAGTCTCCACCTGCGTCGTGAAGACGTTTCACTGCTTCTGACGTCATTTCATTCCATTTCGTCAGGAGTTCTTCGTCTCCATCTTCTACGATTTGGCTGATCACATGATCCGTTGGATTCCATCTCCTGAAAATGTTGAAAATTATTGAGTAGCTGAAAAAAAGGGAAAAACCTCAGTCACGTACCTCACCGCAAACCCTGAGAACATCTCCGTCTTTCGATCAATAATCAGATCATGGCAATAGATATAGGCGTCTGGTTTACTTGCGCTGACAATTACGTCACCTCAAAAAGCCAATATTACAAAATTAGTATTATTTTGCATGACATACCTTATGGTGTAACGAATGAATAAACAATAATAAACCCCGCAGAAAATTAGCAATTTACCAACCACCAAATGGAATAACATACCTAAACGAGCGTGGCGCTTGGCATCTGTGAAATGTGGTACTGCTCCACCGACACCGACCACAAACACATGCTCGATATTTTGGAAATTTCCTAGCAACCTAAGAGAAACTCCAATTATAGCAGCAGAAGAAAAGGAGAGAAAATCTTCAAAAATTCATACCTAGTAGTGATTGAGCCTGCGCTGGTAGTGGCTTCCCGAGAATCTCCAATAGAGGCAAGTTTCGTAGCCACAACACGATGATGACCAATACGTCCCATTGAGTAGACATTTGAATCACCACCAGATTTATACTACAATTCAGATGTTACCAATCTTCCAGTGCTATTTTGTTTTCACCCTAAAAGAGTTTAGAGGGTAGGACGGCACTATCTACCTTTTACCACACCCACTGTCCGAAAATGGGCCGGAATCTCGAATTGACTAAAAATCTGTTCCCAATGATCGTTTGACCCTCTGAACACAGATACCGCATCCGCTCCACCCCAAGCCGTCCGGCGCCCTCGCCTTAGGCGCCAGCACCAAACCCCAGATTGTCAATCTGAACACAGACTGCACATCCGCTTGACCCGAAGCAGTCCGGCGCCTGCGCCTCAGTCGCCGCCGCCAATTCCCAGATTTTCGAATGGAGAATTCGTCTCTAGGGGTGTTTCAACCCCCACCTACCCCCCCCCCTCCCAACTAGCATATGAATATTCCATTAGCTTGCCACGAGCCGCCTGGTGCATGCATCGGCGCCTGCAGTGCAGACCCGAAGCGGTTTCGTGCCAGGCGGTGAGCTGAAGCGGTTGTGTGCACACGGCTGCATCTTTCCTTTCTTAATGGTCAAAAAGAGCTCCCTTCCCCATTCTCCGGCTAAGTCGTTCCGTTTGCTGAGGTTCAGCCTAACAGATGAAGGAATCATTACCTCGGAGGAACGATCACCCATGATTGTGATTTGGTAAGAAGGACAACTAATCCAGGGAGCAAGTTTTCACCCGATCTGGTGATTAGAGGTATTATGGAGCTGGCGCCTGTGAAGCGAGCGCCGAGCAAGGACATCCATATCCATATCCATGCTCAGAGGGGAGGGGCAAACTACCCTTTAAGACAAACTTCAAAGCAAACCCACGCGGAGAGGATGTCAGTGAAAAAAATTTCCTGGTTTTCCAGGAGTGGGGCGTCAGGGATAAATAGTTACTAATGCACATCCACATGCACAACTATGCACAACGACCTCCTATGTAGGCACGCTTGGGGCAGAAAGGCCCTAAATCTTATATGGGAATGAGAACCTACTCTCCTGGATGTGGAAATCAGCAAATCCTGACCAGCTATTAGACCATGGCGCAGTGAAGCGTTGTCTGGGGATGAGAACCGTTAGAGCGAGGGAACAATCTTCTCGGCGCTGGATCTTCCACATCCTGACGGGATCACATAGAAGCGTTGTTCCAGCGTGTGAATTTGCCGCAGCGCTATGATAGCCATCAATTTTTCAGGGATGGGCAGCGTTCACACAGGTGGAACATTATCCCTTGTGAAAAGTTGCTATCCGATCCGATGCTTCTTACCCACCTCATCGTCTCCTACCTTCCTCAAAAAGCAGGAACGATGCCGTGTGGACGTACTCAGTTTTGGCTGTGGGAAGTGCCTAGATCACCGAATCCGCTCAAAACTGCTGAGCCTAGAATAAGGGAATTAATCCTTCTACCGGCTCAGCCTTACCGTTGAGGGGTGGGGACTAGGAGCAAGAAGGGTTGGCAATGACAGTCACAACCTTCTGAAACCGCCAGCAGCCAAAACTGAATGTGTCCAAACGGCATCACTCAAAGTGGAGGTTACTGGGCACCCACGCAAAATTGCACATTGGCCCCTCCCGAGCCACCTGTCGTCACACGCAGGTCATCTGCTAAACATCCAGGGTGTATCTACGGTCCATAAAGTCAGAACACAGAAAACAGTGTCAGCTCTAACATTTGAGAATTGCGAAGAAATCAGCGATTACCATGCCAAAACCGAACCCGTCTAAGGGATTTTCAGAATAGCTCTTTACAAAAAGGGTAACAAAAGTCCCACCTTGTGTAAAATTGACCGATCCTCTATCAAAGCATCAACGGCTTGTTTTTCAACGAACAAACAGGTTATGATCGCAACTGTCGGCTGATCTTGCACGCCTAAAAAAACTTTTACAAGAGCTCAGATAGAACATCCTTCGTGAAGTTGCGTTCAGACCTCGCGATGACACGTATCGACACGTAATCGCGAAGTCTGAACGCGCTCAACGCAACATAATAAACCAATTTGGAGTCACGCTAACTTCTCGAATCCCAGCGGCTAAAACAGGTTCCACAAAAAAAGACGATCTAAAGACGCACTACACGACTACCTGGAACCAGGATTCATTCCGTGGATGCGTTGGGCAGCTGGGCATCCGTAGTATGGTAGCACTTCTGTCATTCAAAAGTGCGCGACAGCGACGCTAGAGGTCGGTGGCTCGTCCACTCTCCGCCAGCCGTTCGATATGCGATGCGCACGCCATACGCCACAAGGCCAGCCATACGCTCAACCATAGTCAGACGCGCTGCTTGTCTGCGTCTTCACTAACCTCCATGAGAATCACCAAAAATTGTCTCTCTGAGAGGACGCAGGTGAGTAGTTCACGTGGCTATGGTTACGCGTAGAGTATGACGTGGCTAGAGCGTGCGTGTCACGCATAAAACACAAAGCGCAGCCTGTATGAACGTCAAACCACCAGAAACCCCTAGTTTCATTGCCGGGTACTTTTGAATGGAGCAAGTGCTGGAGCATACATGACATCCGACTTGCCCACCTAGCCACGAAAGGGGTCCGCCTACCGGTAATCGTGTAGTGGCTCTTTGAATAGTAAAACAAACAAGCAATTCACCATGTACAGTTCGGGCAACTGCATCGACATTACGCGTGTCTACTCTGAGCCATTCATCTTCTACACGACATACTATTCCCAAAGCTTCTAGTTCACCAAGATACCGCAGCACTTCATCTTCCGTGGTCCTGAACAAAACTTTTTGTGCGTAGGAATCGAATAAAAATCAAACAAGATCATTTCGCTTCAGAGGGGTCAAAAATAATTCGGAATGCCAAGGCGAATTACCACGTCGTATCTTGCCCTGTCTGTCTTAAGATTGAGTGCAGCCGTTTTTGTTGCAGATGGTGGGGCACCCAAAGCGATCAACCGGCAACTAATCGTGGAGAACGGGCTGGCGCCGCCCCAAACCCAGCCCACTGGCACGCCCCAGTGGTTGTAGCGAAAACGACTACGTCTTCGCTTCAGATTGGTTGGTCGTCGTGTTCATGAGGAGGTCGTAGACAACCAAACAAGACGCGGCACACTCTTCCGGTGTGTGCCACCCCCAACTAACTTTGCACAACTCGAGTTGATACCACTAACCAGGAAAGGTCAACAGGTCAGCCTGGCCATTTGCAATGAGCTGCACACCGTTGTACGCGTCTTGGGACAGTGAACTCAAATCTACCTTCAGAATTTGCGGAACGATTCTCTGAACGGAGTTATGGAGGGTCTTATCCCGCGTAGGTCGTTTCACATGCTATCGCGAGGAAACGTGGAAGTCCCTGAAACGGTAGTAGAGCCACGGGTTAAGATGCGAGTTTTTAAGAGAGACGTCATAGAGATCGGGCGCGGGCGGATTGCTTTTTTAGCATTTGTCCAAAAGACATATCGACAAAGCTTCTAACATCTCGGCTCGCCTGCACTACCTGTTTTACCCCTATTAATCAGTGTTCAGCGGGTTAAATTACCTCCTGGGGACAAGTTTCTAGCCGAATCTGATTTTCGACCTCACTTGGAAAATGTGGGCTATTCCATGGGTAATTAGCAGCAGACTGGAGCTCACCTACCATCGATGACTGGTCTCGGAATGGGGAATTACTCCCGAAACAAGGTGAAATGATCTGCAGACTCGTCACAAATAAGTTAGCCAGGTACTGTTGTTGCCTTAAAAACATGACTGAAGCGTATTTTCAGTTCGGATGACAGTCATCCACAGTGTATGCTAGTCATAGTATCGCTGTTAGCTATCAGTCAGCCATGACTATCCATACCCCATTTTTTCGAAGTTGAGTCAGAACCTCAGACTTCGCTAAGGTGACGTTCTAGGGGTTATTTGACCCCCTGAACACGAATATGATACCTGTTCATCGCGCGAGGACCGCTGTTGCAGGGTGCCAACGCTTCGGCGCCAGCGCGCCCGGAAGAAGAAAAACAGTAAAGAAAACCTCTCTAACTCCGCTCAGAGAATCGTTCCGCAAATTTTGAAGATAGTTTTGAGTTCACCGTCTCAAGACGGGTACAACGATGTGCATCTCATTGCAAATGGCCAGGCTGACCTGTTGACCTTTCCTGGTAAGTTACACGTGTACCCCCTCTCGTAGGATTTGAGAGCGGTCTACGCAAAAAATTAGCCTGAAAATAGAAGCGACAAAAAACTCTAAGTGGTACCCCCTTACCTCAGCGCTTCAGCCATGACAGGTATACTAAGTCCGTTCGGGAAGGCATGTTCAAGCAACTCCTGAATATGTCCCACAGTGACTTCTTCCACTTCGGAACCCGAGTCTATAAAATAGCCGTTCCTGCAGCTGAAATAACAACTTTCACCCATCCACAACTACTCCTTACCGTACTGTGCCGCGTCGGGGATAGCGACTTGCTCTTCTTCACTAAGAAGTTTGAACTCGATGTCGATACGTTGAATTTCAGCGAATTCATGCTGCATTTGCTTCAGTATACGCATCATGAATGAGACGTAATCTGAACAAGTTTCATCCTATACAAAGCCACAGGTCTTTGGAAACCTATTTCGAAACATTTCATACCTTTGGGAAAACCAGACATAAGCTGTTTGAAGAAGTTATGTACCACTGAACGACCATGCTGTAGTTCTACGTCATTTCGCAGAGAGAACTTCAATGTACGCTTCTCCTAAAATTGAAATGACATGAACCTTATACGAAAAGATTCACAAGGATAGAAAGCATGAAGAATAGAGAAAAAGGCTCCAAAAAGGAATGAATAAAGAAAGAAAAACAAAGAACTCGGGCAATTCCTCCGTTTGGAGGGGGCACCAAAAGCCACTCAGCCAAGTTCGTACAGGTCACTCAACCTGTAAACTGTAAAGACTTGTAAACTCCCGTTGCCTAAGTGGCCCACCCGTACCATTTCGCAACTTCGCAAGGTTCACAGCTTCCACCAATGTGAGATCTGTTAGTTAGCACGAACTAGCAGAAAGAACCCGCGAAAGCCCATCCCCCAGGCCGAATAGCGCAGGAATCTCAATGTGATGCTGCGGAAACGAACTCAAGAGACTGCACTCCACTGAGCTGAGAGATAATGAAAAAGAACAACTCCAACAAATCACATAATGGAAAGCCATTGTGGAAAAAATGCGGTCGATATTCCAGTAAGATAGGACTTTTTGGCGCAATGGCTTGGAACCGCTGTTGCGCAGAGAGTCGGTTCACCCCTCCGCGCCGCTGTTTCCCTTACAGGGTTCAGTTGTCTCACGCAAAGAATCCTCATCTCCTGCTCCCATTGCCGTGGTTTTGAAAGTATCGTACAGCATTACCCTGGGGGAAAGGAGGTGGGTAGGGAGGAGGGAGGTGGAGGGCATACCACTACGTCAAAAAAGTAGGCGAGGAGAGGAGCAGCTCCTCTCCTCGCCTACTTTTTTCTTTACAGGGGGAAGGGGGCACCAATAATGTCACGCCCCTAACGCTA